CCAGTAGACTGCTCCATTCAGTATTCCCTTCCACTGCTCTGCTGTCTAAGACAATTGGGCATCTTTATTTAATAGGGCTTCTTGATATCAATTGTGACAACACCTATACTGTTTATATTATGAAACAACAAAGCCCTAAATATATTAACGCCTCTCAGAAGACTGGAGGACAAAAAAGTCCTCAGAAAAGTACTCAGAAAAAATTAGATCAAGAACAAATTCCATTTTTGTGCCTAAATCCCATGCTGGAACAGGAAAGGCATCATCTGAGAGGTCAACTGATCTCAAATGAGAGTACACTCTCTTTTAGACACAGACGTGCTGGAAATGAAATTAGTGTGCCAGGAAGACAGACCCACTGATGTTAGGTGATGAAATACTCTAGTACAGTGTTTCTCAAACCTTTCCACCACCAAAGTGTTACAGGACAGGTAGAGGGGCAGCCCAAGCCCCGCAAACCTGCCTATTCTAAATGGGTTCTGCCATCCGCCGCATCAACACAAAACACATGAGACTTTAATGGGAAGGATCTTTAATAAAACTAGGAAACAATACAGGTAAGGCAAAGAGTCTAGTTTCTAAATGAAGCACCCAAAGTTACCCGTCCCCTCGTGGGTAAAAGTCCATCCATATGGGATTGGCCCAGAACAAGGCCCCAAAGCCTGCCACAAGTCTAAAGCATCTTCCAGTGGGGACCCACAGAAAAGGGCCAGAAACAACCGGACAAGCCCGGAAGGAAAAGAGCAAAATCAACATCAAGATAAAAGCTGCCATTGTCACCTCCCCACGGGTCTCACCCACATCTGTGTCACCCAGTCCATGACCAAAAGACAAGCGCAGTTTCTTCACGTGTCTCTAGGCTCCATGCACCTCCTCCAGGTCTCCTTCTGGCTCCATCCTGCTTCCTTCCTCAGTCCCTTCTGCAGCTTCTCCTCTTCCTCCTCAGCTCCACCCTCCCTTGGGTGGGGCAGGGAACCTGGAACTTCCCCCTTTCCTGGGGACCACCCTGTTACAAAAGTAGTTGAGAATATGGAGTATTGGGGGGAAATATTTCTTTGAAATTCAAAGTTTGCTCTTAGGAATCATCACAAATTATACCTTCTACTCCAGAGTATTTGGTTTAATACAATATTGGTTTAATACAACACATATTTAGTTTAATACAATACATAATGAAAGGGAACTGCTAAGCAAATAAAATCTTTCCTGTTTCCTGCTGAAGAGTCACAGGCCTGGTGCAGTAAATAATGCAAAGTAAGTGTAAATAACAAGTTTGCTTCCTTAATAAGCATATCTAAAGGAGGTGACATTCTAACACAGTCAAACCGTTACAGGGCAGGGAGAGGGGCAGCCCAGAACCCGCAAACCTGCCCACTCTAAACAGGTTCCACCATCCGCTGCATCAACACAAAACATATGAGACTTTAATAGGAAGGAACTTCAATACAACCAGGAAACAACACAGGAAAGGCAAAAAATATAGCCTCTAAATCAAGCACCAAAAGTAATCCATCCCCTTGTGGGTAAAAGTCCACCCAAGCAGGACTGGCCCAGAGCAAGGCCCCAAAGCCTGTCACAAATCTAAAGCATCTTCCAGTGGGGACCCACAGAAAAGGATCAGAAACAACCAGACAAGTTTGAAGGGAAAAGAGCAAAATCAAAATCAAGACAAAAACCACCATTGTCACCTCCCCACAGGTCTCTCACCCACATCTGTGTCACCCAGTCCATGACCAAAAGGCAAGCGCAGTTTCTTCACATGTCTCTCAACTCCACGTGCCTCCCCCAGGGCTCCTTCTTGCTCTCCATTCTGCTTCCTTCCTTCCTCATTCTCCTCTGCAGCATCTTCTCTCGCTGCTCAGCTGCTCTCGCTGCTCAAGGCAGGAAACCTGGAACCTCCCCCTTTCCTGGGGACCACCCTGATACAAGACCACCAGCCAGGCTGATTGATTTCCAACCGACCAGCCCGATGACCTCCCAGGCCATCCTCAGATATCTATATTTTTCCCCCTTTTGTCAAGAACTTTTGTGCTCACTGACGGATGTTATCAATGTAAATGGTTATGTATAAAAGAGACCCTTTGTCTCTAGACCACTGCTCAGACCTTACGGGGCTACCCAGGTCTGAGACCTCATGCATGAGTAATAAAGCTACTCCTGACCGCACTATTCCTGAAGTACTGCTTATTCTTCCCTTGCCTGGGTAAAAGGCTAGAGTTTACTTCTGCAACAATAACATATTTAATACAATACTGGTTTAATACAATACATAACATATTTGGTTTAATACAATATTTCCTAATCTGAGTAAAACTGTCTCTTCAGGAAGGCATTTAATTAAGGGTGTTGTATAACTCATGGCACAACATCACATACCCAGTTCGAGAAACACAAACTTAAGACCATGGTTTCCCCTCAAGAGTCAACATAGCACATTATTTTTAATAATCCCTATGGGACAATTTATCACAAAAAAAAAATGACAAAACTCTCTAGGCAAGAAGTAAAAAGTCCCCTAGGGAAAGCAGGGAAAGTCACAGGGTCACATGAAGACATGCCTGAGAATTCTCACAGGGACTAACAGGAGTCATAAATAAGGACCACTGCATAGTTAACAACACACTGTAAAAAACAAGCCACTGGAATCTTAGAGCAATCAGGCAAGTGATTTCCAAGTGTGAGGGAAGGGAGATATGCTATGCATGGAGCACTCACACAGGGCTTCTCTGTTAAAGCCAGTGAAGGAGAGATTCTTTGTGACCTCCCTGTGGACTCTCTCCAGGATGACCTAGAAAAGCTTCAAGGTATACAGGAGATGTCGCCTCTGATGGGTATTGCTACTACTATACACCACAGGTGGGCCTATTCACCTATATATTCAATATGTTCAAGAGACTGAGAATCAAAGAATATTGGTTTCTCTTTTGGCTCCAGAAATAAATAAATAAATAAACAAACAAACAAATAAATAAATAACTTTTCAATGTTTAGATCACTATAGAACTCATGTTTTCCAAAATAAGTTCACTAAATGGTGCCAATATCATCCACAATCTCCCTCTTGACCAGAGATAGTATGACTTCTATAGTGACTTTGAATAAAACAGTATGGAACTAGTTCTATCCCACTCAGATTGAAACCAAGAAAAAATAGGAATTTTGGTTTTTATTTTCCTGTCAGCTCTACCCTTTTTGTCCATACCAGTACTCATCTGTATCTTCAGGAGAAGTAATATTTGAAAAAAAAAATTAAGGGTAAAATTAAATCAATGTGTGTGAGGAATAAGATCCTATGTAGGGAACTGCTTTTTCCAGTTATGTTGTAAATTCAATTACCATACTTCCCTACAGCTAACTCAGAGTTTTTCGTAGGGTGTATTTTTTAATGTCAAAAAGAATTGTCTGTAGCTCAAACAATGGAACTCAGTCTTGCACATTTTATTTTGAGTCAGTTTGTGAATCTGAGTTGAAGTAAATACAGCTGCTTACTAGGAGTAAACTGTCTGGATCATGCTTTCTCATCATGTTGAGAAGCGAGGTCTCTTGCTTAGAAAGACAGAGTTCCCAAAGTGGGGAACCAGTTTTTCGAGATGTTTCACCACTGTACTGACCTATGCATAATCATCTTAGTTTTAAAAATTAAAAGAATATAACCGCATCTCTCATTTTTCTTCACTTCTTCGTTTCTCAACTACAAGACTACAACATGCTTTAACATTCAATAGGAAGGTTATATTTGCTTCTAAATGAGTAGGCTCAGAATTCACTTTATGCATTTTTGATTTAGTGAGTCTGCAACAGCTCCAACATCATAAATATATTTATCTTATTTAACATGTCTTCACTGTATGTAAGAGGTTTTTCTACTTGATTATGTTCAATTAGTACTCTAAACACATGTACAGAATTTCTATCAAAAATTTTTTGATGAAATTTTCCTCCTCAGTAAAAAAAAAAAAAAAAGTTAAAAGTATCTGGTTGAAAATATTTGTGGAGATTGCAATATGTAAAGATGTCAATGTGTTCTCTGAGTTGTAGTTAATAATTAAAAACACCTTTTCTTTGGTAATGATGTTCTAAAAGGAATAGGACATTTTTTGGAATATGGGTAAATAGTTATTTTGAAACATCTTTGAACCTCTTATATTTGCTTGTTTTGAAAATAGGGACTAAAATCTTCTAAATCATGAATTTTAAGTGAAATTTGTAACAACAGTAAGAAAAGAGATTTTCTTAAAAGATTTAATTTTAAGAGATTAAAATCTTGATGATTTTAATTTTCTTCTCTAATATATCCCTTATGTTATATTTATTTTCAATGACATATTCTATATGTATATAAAGTATGATAAATTGCCATGTAAAATTAATCATCATGGTATGAATAGTAGTGACTTATTTAAGAGTAAATGATTAGATACCAACTTGTAAATAAGAAGTAGTATAATATGAACATCCTTAAATAGGAATTAGCAAGATATATAAAAATTTATTATCTGTATTTCCTTGTTGGTTCTTCTTGTATCTGAAAAAGTGATTTTAAAAATTTCCCTTAATGGAGAGAGAGAATTTAAAGCAATATCAAAATTCAAACCACTCAAATCTGTAAAAAATATGAGATTCAAATCTACTTTCAAAATAATGGTGTATGTATCCTCACATTTTGAAGTAAACAGCAGTAATTATCACATCTAAACAGCTTTTACTAGAAATTTTTTATATAAATCAAACCATTTTTGCCTCCATTTCAAGATTTCTTTATACAAAAAGATGAAATTTAACTGATTTTTCTATTTCCTCATAAAGGTCAAATAGCCTGGGATTGTACATTTAAAAAGAATAGATGTCAAAGGTTATTAAGAAAAAGGCAAGATTTATTCAAAACCTACGTTAGAATATTCAATTCATTTACCTGCATGAATCAAACTCCCTGCCTTAAGAAAAGTTTCAAGAAGACTCAGTTACTTATCATTATTTATCTGTCTTCTCTCCACAGTCTGAGGACCATGAATAAGTCAGGGATATCTACTGTGACACAGTTCATCTTGTTGGGCTTTCCTGGCCCCTGGAAAATGCAGATTATACTCTTCTCAATGATTTTTTTGGTTTATATCTTGACTTTGACTGGGAATGTGGCCATTATTTGTGCCGTGAGGTGGGACCACCGACTCCATACCCCTATGTACATGCTTCTGGCCAACTTCTCCTTCCTGGAGATCTGGTACGTGACCTGCACAGTTCCCAATATGTTGGTCAATTTTTTTTCCAAAACCAAGACCATATCTTTCTCTGGTTGCTTCATTCAGTTCTACTTCTTCTTTTCCTTGGGCACAACTGAATGTTTCTTCCTCTGTGTCATGGCTTATGATCGGTACCTGGCCATCTGCCATCCACTGCATTATCCCTCCATCATGACTAGTCAGTTCTGTGCCATTCTGGTGTCTCTTTGTTGGCTCTTTGGTTTCCTTGGACATTTAGTTTCTATTACCTTCATTTCTCAACTTCCCTTTTGTGGCCCCAACATCATTGACCACTTTCTATGTGATGTAGAACCACTGATGGCTCTGTCTTGTGCCCCCAACTCCATCATAGAAAATGCATTCCATTTTGTAACCTCTGTGTTCATTGTTCTCACTGGCCTGTACATCCTTGGCTCCTATGCCCTGGTCCTCAGAGCTGTGCTTAAAGTTCCTTCTTCAGCTGGGCGGCAAAAGGCCTTCTCTACCTGTGGATCCCACTTAGTCGTGGTTTCTCTGTTCTATGGAACCATAATAGTGATGTATGTAAGTCCCAAATCTGACAACTCAGTTGCTATGCATAAGATCATCACTCTGTTATATTCTGTAGTGACACCGGTCTTAAACCCTTTCATCTACAGCATACGCAACAAGGACATGAAATTTGCCCTTCGTCAGGTATTTTGTAGAATGAGAGTTATCTAAACCTCATGAATAGGTTTTGTGAAACCCAAAGACTCTTCCTTCAAGTGGAAGATAAATGACCCAAATGGTCTTGGCTTTGTTAAAAATCTTCATGCTCCTTTTGTACAAAGCAAAACTCATCATTTATTTCATCATATTTGGATATTCATTAAAGATTAGCTATTGCTGAAACTAGAAATTTCATAAATGTGTTTCCATGGGAAAAGATAGTCCCCTGACACAGAGTAAAAATGACTTAAAAATCTTAACATTTATTCAAGAAGGTTTTGACTTTCCTATTGTGCAATCTTTGCCCATGCAACTTTGTTGAGAGATATTAACCCCAATTGGTTTGCTAATATGGCAGTCTAACACTTTATTAAAAAAAATACATAATAAATAAAATGCCTGTTGTCTTAAATTTTTAGCAGAAATGCCCACATATCAATGTTGGATACACTTAGAGACTATGAAGTCAATTTCACAATTTTTAGCTCATCATCATCATCATCAAAAGCATACAAGGGGGAGGCTGGATTTTTGATTGAAGTTATGAATAAGAATATCTTTGGTGAATTGTTAGTATATAATTTTCATAAGGAAAATGAAGAGTATTAAGAGAGTTTAATCTGTTCCCTAGAGTTTAAGGGACATCTGCACTTTCCTAAATTCATATCTAGAAAAAATGCGTATTGTGAAACAGTGTCTGTGAGAACAGAACAGAAAGAGATGAGCTATAACAAGAGCAAACTGAATGTCCATCAATAATAGACAAAATACAGAATTCCACGCTGAGTCTAAGAGAGCTCTAAAAGAGAACCAACCTGGACCAACTTGAAAGAGGTTTCCATCCAGAAGTACTACTTGAAGAAGTAAAGCAATCCCATAAAGATTCAGGTGAAAGCTTCCTAATATCCCCAGGATATATATGTTCCTCCTAAGACATCTAGAATACACTAGGTCATATTCCAATAGGACTCTGATGTAAATGTTTTATGGATTGTCAGTTCTTTCCCAAGAATACAAGCCCCCTGAGGACAGAGCAGCATCTCCTTTTTTCACCCAGCATCAAGGATGATAACTGATTGACTCATAGTAAGCTTTTTGGGAAAGGAACAGTTTGTAGAATTGGATAAGTGAGTTAGTTCTTCAATCAGCTCTCACTAGCATTAAAGATATTTCAGTCACAAAACCACTAACTGATTGTTTACATTTTAGTAATATTTACAGAACTTACCAGTTTTTAAAGCTATATTTTATGTGTGTTTTTATTACCAAGCAATACAGACTTGTCATGAAATTTTTAGACAATACATAATAACACAAAGTTAAAGATAAAAGTTCCCTAGCACCCTAACACCCTAGCACCTCACAATTACACTTTCCACAAATAACGAGTTTTGTACTAGTCAATGTTTTGATGTATCCACAAACATGAAAATGCAAATACATAAAATTTTCCAACTTATTTAAACTGATTTTATTATAGAATATCATAGCTATTTTTTATTCTCTTAAAATTTTGTAACCTCCTATCCAGGTAAATACAAATAAACATACCTCATTTTTTTTTTCAGTTTAATATTGCCCCAGTGTATGAATGAACCATAACTTACTTAATTATTCCCCTATGGCTGGATATACATTGCTTTAAGGTATTTTGTCTCACAGTGGTTTTAAAAACTGTCTTTTTTAAAAAAGACAGTTCTAGGAAGGGTATTGCTAAATACAATAATAAATCTATCAAAAATCTTGTTATCATTCTATGTTAGACACACAGAAAAGTCTATGTACATGTGTGTTAATTTAAATGATACAAAATTTAGAAAGTTCTGTGTTCTTCTTCACCCAAGTAAAAAACATGAAATATTGGGCCTCCCTGGGGGCATGGGAGGTTAAGACGCAACCTATGAGGCAATTCAAAGCCACTGCAGCACAAGTTCGATCCCTGGCCAGACCTCTCCTGACTCACTCGCTGCTTCCCTCAGCAGTGTATTTCAGTCAATCTGCTTGTTATGTTCCCAGCTCTGTCTCTTGTGAATCCTCTCACCCCCACACCTCTGGCCTATACCCCAGTTCTTGTATCCATAAGTGAATAAATCTTTTTAAAAAACACATGAAATATTGCCATCATTTTAGAAACCTCCTGTGAGCCTCAACTACATCAGCCACACAATGCAATAAAGAAGTAAGAGAAAGAGCAGGATTTTGTTATAATCATTCCCTTGCTGTTTTTCAACTTTGCCACTTATGCATGTACCTCTAAATGAAATGTTAGAAGAAACTTCAAAGACCCACTGGTACCCAGAAAGACTGAAAAAAAAAAAAAAAGGCAAAAACCTCAGAATCAGCCTTACTGTCACCCTGGAAAATAGCCAAAGATTACCAGCAACCAAGTGAATGTTTCATCAAAAAGACAAAGAACTTTGTTTTACCGCAAGCCAGCAATGGCAGGCCTCAGTATATTACCCAAAGGAATTGTAAGCATAGCCCCCACAAAAACCTGCACACGGATATTTACAGCAACTTCATTCATAATTGCCAAAATCTAGAAGCTGCCAAGATGTCCCTTAGTAGGTGAATGAATAAATAAATGGTGGTACAGCCAGACAATGGAAAATTATTCAACACTAAAAAGAAATGAGCTACCCAGCCATGCAAAGACAAGGAGGAACCTAGATGCATACTACTAAGTGAAAGAAGCCGGTCTGAAAAAGTTACAAACTATGTAATACCTACTGTGACTTTCTGCAAAAGGAAAACTATAGAGACAATAAAAAGATGAATGCAGAGGACTTGGCGCAAAACCGCCCCCATGCTGGGGCATGTCTGCAAATTTTCCCAACATTCAAGCTACAGTTTACAGTTTACTACAGCCCCCTCAGGACACTGTTAGGCACACAGAGAGAAGGAAATGTTCAAGGTGTTCAAACCACAAGATAGTAAACCACAACACCCGAAGTGCTGGGGGTGGCAGTACCTTATCCCTTAGCTGATCAGCTCTCCCGGAGGTCCATCTACCTGCACCAGAAACTGCTGGGCCCAGCTCTTCCACCAGATCCGGGGTGCTGACCTGCCACACCTGTCCTGGCAAGGTTCTGGGAACAGAGGCCATCGTTCCCATCTGCTGAGGAAGTCCTGCCGCAACCCGCTGCTTCCACAGCTGGACACCAGGATTTACACCGAGAGCAAGGGGAGAAACAGGCAGAGCATAGAGGATTTTAGGGAAAGCAAGAATACTTTGTATGATATAAAGATAGATATATGTCATTATACATTTGCCTAAACCCATAGAATGGACAACACCAAGAGCGAACCCTAAAATAAACTATGAACATTGCTAGGTTTAAAAAAAATCTGCCATTCTGTGGGTGCATTATGGTGGCAATACCTGATGGGGGTATCCAAATATTACCTCAATTAAGAATGAATGAATGAATGAATGAATGAATGAATCTGCTTTTCTGGTGAGTGATGTTGACACTGGGGGCAGATAATATATGCACGCGGGCAGGAGGTATATGGAAAATCTAGGTACCTTCCTTTAGATTTTGTTGTAAATCTAAATTGCTCCTTAAAAATGAGTCTTTAAAAAAAAAAAAAGGGAAGCTTTCAGCTATCCCTCTGAAAATATAGACAGAAATTTACTCCCCAATAAAGAACTAAAAAGCTTAATAAAATATATAATGCACCAACACACGCATGACACCAAAGAAACAAGAAATTGTCACTGACAGACAACATGAAAGCAGATTACATCAGTTAAGTTTAACTTTTTTTTTAAAGATTTATTTGTTTATGCATACAAGAACTGGGGGACAGGCGAGATGTGGAGTGTGTGTGTGAGAGGATTCACTAGAGACCAAGTGGGAAGCAGAACAGGCAGACTGACTGAAATACACTGCTAAGGGCAGCAGCGGGAGAGACAGGAGAGGTCTGCTGTGCCATGTGGGTAGCTCCCTGGCCCACAGGGGATCAAACTGGTGCTGCATTGGCTGCGGATTGCTTCATAGTGCTGTGCTTAACCCATTGTGCCACCAGGGAGGCCCAGTTAAACTTTCAATTTCAAAATAAAACATCTTTCCACATCCTACAAGCCAAAGTGAAGAAAGAAAGCAAAATAAATGATAGTGTTCTAATTATAAAACTGAGACAATATAAATCAGAGAAGCAAAATTTTACATGGCATGATATTTTCAAAAAGAATTTATTGAATTAAGTTCCCCATTTTATTTTTTACTGTTTTTTTTACAACTTTCTTATACACTCTTTGGCAAAAAAAAAAATAGTACAACATATACATTAAGTATGGTGAGTATAATGAAAACTAAAAAATAAGCATCTAGTTATCCACTACCAAAGGCAAGAAATAGGGCATTCCAAGTACTTCAAACATCTCTTTGGTTTTTTATCACACCTATCATTCCCCCTAACTTTTTTTTTTAAATAATAAATTTTATTTTTATATTCCCCCATACAATTGCAAATGCCCCATTCTGACCCCAATCCCTCCCCTCCCGGGCCCCACACCCCCAAAAGTGTCTCTGGTTCATAGTTTTTTGTTGATTGATTTTGATTTTTACTTTCTTATAGTTATTCATTTTCCTGGTCCCTTATTTAAGTTTTCTAGATTCCTGCTATGAGTGAGACCATCCGCTATTTTTCTTTTTCTTTCTGGCTTATTTTGCTGAGCATGATTCCTTCCAGCGCCATCCATGTTGCTGCAAATTGCATGTGTTTATCTTTGTTGAATGCTGAGTAATATTCCATGGTATATATGTACCACATCTTCTTGATCCAGTCATCTATTTTTGGGCATTTGGGCTGTTTCCAAAGCTTAGTTATTGTAAATAGTGCTGCTATAAACATAGGGGTGCAGGTGTTCTTTGGAATTGATGTTTCTGTGTCCTTTGGGTAAATACCTAGGAGTGGGATTGCTGGATCATATGGAAGCTCTATGTTTAGTAGGTCCAGAAATCTCCACACAGCTCTCCATAGTGATTGGACCAGTTTGTACTCCC